GGGAAGAAGAAAGGAGGGACAAGGAGCACACAACCATACACTGGGTACCAGGTTGAGTATCGGGGAGAAAGGGCCTGCTAAAAGTCCAGACTTTACCTGCACTCAATTTACTTATATAGTAAATCCTTGCATGTACCTCACAACCCTAAAATTAAATTAAATTAAGCAAAATAGTGTTCAATAGACATTAACAGACATATTATGGGACAGGAAACATAAGCTCAATAGATGTGAAAGATTTTGACTATCCTTAAGAATAAAAAATGCAAGCCGTGCTCGGTGGCTCCCACGCTTTGGGAGGCTGAAGTGAGTAGATTGCCCGAGCCCGCGTGTTCGAGACCCGCCTGGGCAACTTGGCGAGACCTCATCTCTACAATAAATCAAAAAAATTAACCAGGTGTGATAGCGTGTGCCTGTAGTTCCAGCTACTTGGAAGGCTGAGGCAGAAGGATTGCCGGAGCCCAGCAAGTCGGGGCTGCGGTGCCCGGGAGCAGCCACTGCACTCCAGTCTGGGTGACAGAGTGAGACTCCAACTCAAAAAAAAAAAAAAAAGGATTAAAAAATGCAAATTAAAACTATAACTGGATAACATTTTAACCACACAACTGGAACAATATTTAAACATCTGGTATTACTAGATATTGGCAAGAATATAAAGCATCTGAATCTTCTATTCACTATGGGTGGGTGCAACCCCTTTCAAAAGCTGTTGTCATTACTCAACCATGTTCAGGATATACATCCCTATTAACTAAGAGTTTCATTCCTGTGTATATAAATGCCTCTGAGCTACTTGGGCATGTGTACCCTGAGAGTTTAAAAGCATTATTTATCACACTAGGAAAGCCCATAAAGTAACTGTGAGAACGAATGAACTGAGGCTCATGTAGTAAGGTGGATGAATCTCAAAGCCATAATGTTAATGAGAAAAGCAAATCACAGAAAGTACTGTATTCAGTATGATTCTATTACGTAAAACTCAAAATCATTCCAACTACATAATATATTGTTTCGTGAACATACATATATGACTTTTGAATGATATATAAACAGCAAGGAAATAACAAATACTTAATTCAGCAAATAGGTACTCTCGAGGAGAAGGCAGGATGTTACAATCAATGACAGACACACAAAATGGCAAAAATTTTGGTCAAATTTCATTTCTTAAGCTGGGTGATGGGTAAATAAGTGTTTATCTATGTATATTCTTTAAGCTATAAGTAGATATTACATGTATTTAATTTATATGCATAAGATATGAATTTCTAAAATATTTCAAATGAGTAGAAAATTATGACATGCACTTCAAAATGTTCAGTAAAAAAAATAGTGTAAACACGTAACCCTGAATCATTCTGCAGGTTCTAAAGAAATGTCTACAGTATTTCTGAGTAGCTCCTCAAAGTGCATTCTGGCTTTAAGAGGGAAAACCACATGCTTGTCTCTCCCAACCTGAGGCCTGACATGGTCAAAATATTAGTTGAGTATCACCAAGGAAGAAAATGTTCAATTGGTAGAGCGCCTCTCCATTGCAATGGAAACCCACAAATTAGTATTTCTGGTTTTAGTCCAATATCATTTATACTAGTTCATGAATTTTTAATACCCCTGTCTTCAGGGACAAATAATTATGTACTCATGTCCTCAAAGTCATATACAATTTAGAACAAATTGGTTTAGGAATAAAAATGCGATCAATATTTTGTATGCACTTGTGAAAAAAGTATCAATAATAATTTTCTAATAGTACATCTTTTCAATGTGTCTAACCATAATATACGTAATGCTCACATGATGTTAAAAATAAATTATTAAAAAGCAAATGATAAATTAGGAAAAAATTTAGAATGTTTATGTCAAAATTAAAATCCATAATACAAAATGTATTCCACCAAATCAATAAGATGAATTATCAATGAGAAAAAATGGGCAAATAATATAAATAGCTAAGATATGAAAAGAGATATTTGAATTTACAATAAATAGGTAAAAATGCTCAGTCTCAAGAATAAAAATACAAATGAAAACTATGAACTGGCTATCACACTGGCAATACATTAAAAAAAAAAACCTTCAGCATAGTGTTAGTCAAAATGTGTAGGGAAAAGCACATGTTGACAGTGGGAGACCAAATTGGTACAATCGTTTTGGGAAGCAGTTATAAACATTGACATCCTTTGACTCATCAATTCAATTTTTATGAATTTATCTTGCAGAAAACTCACTTAAAAGGACAAAGATGAATAAATAAGGGCGTTTATTGCAGCAACTGTAACAGTCAAATAAGCAAAGAAAAAAGATTTTTAAATCCCCTAAATTTCCATTAATAAATAGATCTGTTAATTAAATGAAAACTATACAGCCATTAAATGGCAATGTATATGTTTGAGTGTGTGGCTTCCTCTCTCTCTCTCTCTCTCTCTCTATCTCTATGTATATATATATCTTTGCTATATGGTTTACTGAAAAGAGAAAGGCATATGCCATTATATGTATCTTTAATGTATAAATATGTATTACATATATATTTATGCAAAATGTATATAATTATCTCTATAAATGTTTATGTTATATATGTAAGGCATATACATATGCATTCAATATATAAATTTATATTTTAATAATGACATGATTCTTTGACATTTTATATTTACATTAACAGTGAACATATCTAGGAGTGATATTGAAGCTAGTAGAAACTACTTTCTCTTTATAAAACGCAGTACATACATTGATATGTACAAATAAGCATCTGAATTTGATATTTTTTACAGTGAGCATTCTATTACTTTTGTAAAAAAAAAAAAGGAAGTTTGATTTCAATAAGACATCAAACTTCTCTAGAAGTTCAGTCTAGTTGAGTCAGATTTTCCCTTTCCTTTAAAATTACTATAACGTTGACACCAGCAAAGCAACAAATGACTAAAGATGCAGACATTCGGTTAAGGATACACCAGTGGAAGAAGAGTTATAGAAATCAAATTGTGGAAATGCTGACTCTGGCTCTTGTGTGACAGCTAAAGTACCCTCAATCAGCCTCTTCCTATCAGCATAAAGGGAGATTACAACAGATATTAAGAAAATCAGAAAGTTAGCCATGTGATGAGGCATAAGAACATTTTATGTTAAGATGAAATGAAGTTAAACTATTTCTGCAAAATACTTATTTTCCATCTTATGATGAGACAAAAATATGCAATCCAGTCTATTACCTTAAACTGAAGGGAATATTAGGTGTACGGTTTATTCTCCTAATCATTTTACCTTTGTAAGAGGAAGAAAATACCCACTGCAAAAATGTGGGTTTTGTCTTCATTTTAAAACCCTTTTGCTGTTTTTTCAAACACGTATGTTTTCTTGGAGCAGCGAGGTCAAGAACTCTGGAATGTTCAAGAAGTTTCCAGAAAAGTATAAGACTCTAACCAAGAGGAATATGCTCACCTTGGACCTTATTCCTTTGCTTTAGGGCTACACCGTAGGTAGCTGCGGGTATGGAGCTCGCAAGTGTGGCTGGGACACATCCTGAAGGAAAACACTAACAGATTTTGAAGACTGAAAAATTGACCGCCGAACATCTCAATCTACGTTGTACTGATGACATGTTGACAATATTCTTGATAAACCGACTCAGATAAGATATATTGTTAAATCTAATGTCACTTGATTCTCTTTTACTTTTTTTGAAATGTGGCTACTGGAAATTTTTAAACCACATACAGGACCCACATATTTCTCTCGGGCGGTGCTGACTTAAGGATTCAGCAGAACTGGCTCAGCCCTTCCTGGCTCTATGACCCTGGGCAGACACTTCTTCTTCTCTGAGTCTCAGTACTGTCCTCTGGATTTGGGGGAAGAGGAAATACTACGCTGCATGGGACTCCTGAGTAATTATTACTAGAATTAGAATTCTCAGCTGGTTTCCACTGAAACGCAGAATCTCCCTCCCCCATTCACTCCACTCCCGGCTCCTCCATCCTCCCCCGGTCCCCGCCCGCCTCCACTCCGACCTGCCCTTCTCCTACATGCCTGGAGAACCCGGTGTTTGCGAGTCTGCGATCTGCTTTTTGAGGAAACTCGCAGTCTGGCAACGGGGAGAGGCTTCCCCCTGGCGGTCACAGGAGGAAGGGTACCAACGTCAGGACTCGGCCCGGTGCCTGGTCAGAACAGATCCGCGCCCACCTGGCGAGGCCTAGGGCTTTAAAGGACACCCAAAATACTTTCCGCCGTCCTCCCTCTGGCGCTTCGGGCCCGGGAGGGGGCACCGAGGAATATCCAGCACAGGCTGCGTTTAGATATGGGGTGGGGCCGGGGAAGGAGGCTGGAGCTTGGAGGTAGCAGATGGCTGGCAGGACAGGCGGTGCAGTACTGGGGGGGGGGGGGGGGACTGAGAATCTCATGTTTGTTTTGATGGGGCTGTCACTGATAACTAACTTCTGTACAGAGTTTAAATGTCCCAGGACGCTGCTGTTATCCTCATTTTGACAATGAAGAGTCAGGCATGGGGGGTGGAAAAGTCCTAGCCAGTCTCACATCCGGGTAGTGTCCATATTGAATGGAGACAGTGACGCCCACAAGATAGGGCTCTTTCAGGGTTCATTGGTATCAAGTAGACGGAAGCACCTGGCTGGATAAGGCGGGATTACAAAATTGCCATGAGGGACTCCTATGGAATAAATTATCTCAATCTTGGGCTTAATTATTCTACAACTCCAACTAAGCAGTGCCTTTTAGTGATGGAGACCGGAGTGTGGCACAGCAACCATGGGGACAATTTTGGGGCTCAAGTGGAGTGGTTAGGCTCTTCCTCAACAATAGTATATAGACCACCTCCTATACTGCAGTGCCCTAAATCTAGGGTAAATAGGTGTGCGCAGGCTCTCTGTTCCATCATTGCAACAGAACCCATATTCTCACACCCAAAGGAGCTCTGCTTTCCAGAATCCCTATTGCTGTCCCCACCCCTATCACTCATAGTCTTTGGAACGTCTCTTGAACAGATGCCCCTTCTGAACTGCCAAATCCTGAAGGGTTACCGGGAGCAGCGCCTGGCCCATCTGGTCCTGAGCTGTATTTCCATGGGATATGTCTGGCAGGAGGGAGAGATGCAGCCCGAAAAGGTAAGGGACAGAGAGAGACCCAAACTGTCATCCAGCAAGCAGGCTGCACCTGCAGGTATGCTGGTTGGTACTGCACTGTCTCCTGGAAAATGGACTCTTTTTTGTTCTTTTGGATAGGTATCAATTGTACAAAAGGTGAAGATCTCATTTAAATGGAAGGTTTTTTTTTCTTTTCACTAGGAAGCTAATTTTCTTTTAAACTGATAGCCGTTTTTCCCTTTTATTAGCTATTGAATCTATTTTCTCTGGCACCCTCTTCCAAGAATGTCTAAAGAGCTGCATTTGAAGACAGATTCTGAGAATTCACAAAAAACACACAGCATTTTGTACTCCTATACATACCTGTTATCCTGATTGCTTTTCACACTCTCATGAGGTCAGTAAGGCTTTACTATGCCCATTTTACAGACAGTTGAGAAGTGCAGACGTTGACTTCCTTGACCAAGGTCAGATAGTAAATTGGTGGAAAAGCTAAGGTCTAAACCCAGATCTGATTGCACTGATGTGCCCTTCTTTCCCCAGAGGGACCCATAGACATTTATTTACAACACAAATTTTTATTTTTAATACTGCTTTCTATCCAGCCAACTATTATTCTGACTCTTAATAAGTCATCCAAATTTTTTCTGATTTTTTTTTTTGAGTCAGAGTCTCACTCTGTCATCCAGGCTGGAGTGCAGTGGCATGCTTACAGCCATGCCAGCGTCGACCTGCTGGACTCAGGCGATCCTTCTGCCTCAACCTTCCAAGTAGCCAGAACTACAGGCGCACGCTATCACAACCAGCCAATTTTTTGATATATTGTAGAAACGAGGTCTCACCAAGTTCCCCAGGCTGGTCTCAAACCCCTAGGCTCAGGCAATCCTCTTTCTGTGGCCTCCCAAACTGCTGGGATTACAGGCTTGAGTCACTGCACCCAGCCTGAATTTTTGCATAACTTTTAATAGTTTCAGCCTGAACTTTGAGACATGCACTATGCATAGTGTAAATTGATGTTCCTTTCCATGTTTTATGAGTGTACCTTTCTCAGAAATCAGGGCGTTATCCTTGTTTGGATTCATAATAGCCAGCAGCCCACACCCATTGTGTTTGCCTGATGGATTCTACCTCTTATCCCTCAGGTGAACACATGAGACTGAGGGAAAGGAACAAATGGAGCTGCTCCGAACATTTTTGTATATCAGTACACCTCATTTTAAAAAGTAGTGTGTCTGATGCTGGAAGCTGGAAATCTAGGCACATCCCAATGGGTCCCGGTATGCCATCTGCCACCCCAAAGCATTGTCTTAAACTGGGAATAGAGCAGGGAAGGATGGTGGGGGAGGATGACCTCAGCTCCCAGCTGTGTCCCTGTCATTCTGGGGGGACCTGGAGGCTCCCTACCCGCCACTCACCGCCTCCACCTCAGAGCATCTCCTTTCTGTTTCTACTCCCTTCTTGGCTTTCAGTTAAGTAAGCACCTTACTTCCCATTGCCTTCCAAAGAAAGATTACCTGAGGTACACATTCCAAAACTCTTTATTGTTTTCTACCTAAGAAGTCATGCTGACCCATATCTGTCTAAAAGTCCAAAGGAAAATGAAGACAGAGCAGGACTTCTTTAGCAGATATTTCTCTTTTAGGGGAATGAAAGTGAAAATGAGAAGGGAGAGGAGTGCTGCTTGAGTATAGATTCGTTTAGCCTTCGACACAGATAGAGATTCCCATGGATCTAAGCAGATTTCCTGGATTTGTGGTAGATACGGCTCTGTAGGGGGTCCCTCAGATAAAAGAGGGTTCTGAGATGGCTTACTTGAAGGTGTTATTGAGTTTGACATATGAAGTGAACAGTAGAGTTCATTTCCACACAGGCTGAGGTATTCTGCTCCTCATGATTCTCTAGGGTACTCTGGTCTCTCTGACTCATATCCATGCACACATATTCCTATATCTAGCTATATATCTCATCTATCTATCTATTATCTATCTATCTTCTAGCTGATCAACCAATCTATTTATCATGTATTTATCTATCATCTGTCTTGTCTATCATTTATCATCATTAACCTATCATCTATCTATCATCTATTTATCCATCTGTCATCTTTCTATCTATTGAGATTTTTTCCTCACTGCTAATCTTCTTGGCCCCAAATTTATGCTCAAACATTTTGTCAATGTCTTTCTTTGCATAATCAGTTTTCAGAGTTTATTTATACTCTGTGTGTATGTTTGTCATCTAACTTGGTAATTTTCATATATAGTGCAATGTGTGCTCACGCATGATATTTCTACTGAGTTGTTAACAGAGAGATATGTTGAGGTGCATGAATGTCAAGCTTGGTTCTCAGGTCATTTTTCAGTCATGAGATTGCTGGAATAAAACACAACCATATATTTCCTCTGCTGCATTCATTCTAGGCTATGCTAATTGTCTGGATTTATATCTGAAAGGTTCTGCCAAGAAATCTTGCCATTCCATTTGTCGAAGTCTCCAGGAACTTGGGACTCCCTCCTATCCTGGTCCACTCAGACCTGGTGCTGACAAACTGGACCAAGAGGGACCCATATGGGTAAGAGAGGGAGAGAAAACATTGGGGGGTTTTTTGTTTGTTTGTTTTGTTTTCTTTATTTTATTTTATTTTATTATAGAGATTTAGGGTACAAGTAAGGATTAACTGCATAAGTAGGCTGCATGCAGGTGAAGTTTGGACCTCCAACTAGCTTTCAATTCCCCTAATTTGGGACTGGATACCCTTTGTATTGTTATGTATCCCCTCCCTCCCCCTTTGCAGTGCACAGCAACTGCCAATCCTTCCCTAGTGCTAATGTGATTAATGTCCAGGTCCCACTTATGAGTGAGAACATGTGGTATTTAGTTATTGGTTTCTGTGACCAATCACTAAATGTGATGGTCTTCAGCTCCATTCAATTTTCTGTGAAGTCCATGATTGTGTTATATTTCATGGCTGTGTAATACTCCATCAAGCATATGTATCACATTTTCTTCATGCAGTCTACTTTCAATGGGCAGTGGATTTGGTTCTATGTTTTTGCTATTGTGAAAAGTGCAGCTATAAACGTGTGTGCAGGTGTCTTTTTTGTAGAACAATTTATGTTCCTCTGGGTATGTTCCCAGGAGAGGGACTGCTGGATCATATGGAAGGTCAATTTTTAGTTCTTGTAGAAATCACCACACTGCTTTCCACAGAGGTTGAACTAGCTTGAACTCTCACCAACAGTGTAGAAGTGTTCCCTTTTCTCTGCACCCATGCCAGCATCTGGTGGGTTTTTTGTTGTTGTTGTTGTTCTTTTTAATTAATGGTGGCCATCCTTACTGATTAGGTGGTATATCGTTATAGTTTTGATTTGAATTTCACTGGTGATTAGAGAACACTTTAAATTTCAAAGACTGAAGTGTCGTAAGAGGTAGTCTTATTATTTCACCTCTACCCACAGGACACACCCATTCTCTTTCAGCTGTTTTATGATTAGGGAAGTTCATATTTATGTCAACTTTATGGTGCCAAAGAAGGGGTAAACTTGAACACAAATTAAAAAAATCACAGTCCCCAGAAATTTCCTCTCAATCTGCTCTGAATACATTGGTCTAGACCACTTTTATATGTCTGTTTCCAGATGACATCTGAATCACAACCTGACCTACAAGCTCCTGCATAATCAGACTTTATTTGTTCTTTCTCACCACATTGTGTATTCCCTAAATGCCCTCCATCCAAATCAAGTCAGAACCAGGGTCTTCAGTAGTGACCATTGTATAATGACCATGAATGAATGTTATGGACTAGTGCTCTAGGTATGTTGAATTGAGAATTTGTTTAATGATGCCATCTATCCCACCAAGCTTACATCATCACTTTGATAGTTGGGTTAGGAATGGGGGCATTTGTCTGTAGAAGAAATGGCATGAGTTTTTAACAAAAGAGAAATCCAATAAATAGTGAGAGCTGAATGGAAGAGGTGAAATTCACCTTTGAACTTCATTTATATATTATATAGTCAAATTTATTTTAGGCTATAGATGAAAGAGAAAACACTTTCTTATGTGACTGATCAAAATAATTGAAGATTCATTGAGGTTAGATATGAGAAAGAACTTCCTCAGTTTAAGGACTGTGGGTAACCATGGGATTGCCAGAGAAGGTGATGGGATTCTACTTTAAAGGATTAAACATTACTTGGCAGTTTAGCTCTTAGGACTTATTTATATGTTTCTTGGAAGAAGTGAGAATGGGTCACATCATCTCTCCAAGGAACTCTGAGGTCTATAGGTTTATGTTTTTTATAATTATTCATTGTGATCTTTTGACCAATTCTGCTTTAATCACAAAACTGATGACCACTGAAAACTGCTGAATGTGGCTCAGAATTTGGATGGAAAGAAATAATAAATATATCTGCTTTGGATGGAAAGAAATAGTAAATATATGTGCGTAAGTTGTTCTGATCAAGTATTGAGTAATGAATAAGCTGGATTTATGATTCAAAGAGAAAGAGAGAAGAAGGGAAAACTGAAGGGAAATGGCCATGCTGGGGTGTTCAAATTGAAAATGCAACCACAGAAAACTTGTTTCTGGGGAAGTGAGAGTGCAGGGCCAGTGTTATCTGAGAGATGGAAACATGGTCCTGGTTCTCACCAGTTATTCTTCTTGGTAATTATCTTTTGGAGTCATTTAATATGCCTAGCACAGAGCTAAGTGCTGGGAAGAAATGAAAGAAGCAGAAGCAGAGTATTCTCCAAGTGGTTAAATAGCAAAAAACCAAAAGCACTACATGATAAATGTCAAAGAGTGACAAACAATATTTGAATTTCAGAGAAATGGCATCAATGCAGGCTTTGAAAATCAGCAAAAAACTTGGCGAGGAGGCAGAGCTTGCTCTAAGCAAGTCCTAAAAGATGAATAGGAGTAATAGAACAAAAATGTGGGCTTTATGGTAATGACAAGAGAAGCGAAATAATGTATCAAGATGGCCAAAGACCAAATATCTGGGACTGATGTGTGAGTTGAGATGTGTCTCATTCTTCATCACAGAGCAACCCTTAGTCTAGTCACAGCCTGTGGTGTTCAAAGAAGCGTGGATGTGTGTGTGTCTGCATGTACATTGCACATGAGTCCAATGTATATCTAGTGTACGAATTAAATTGCTCTTTTATTTTCTTTTTCCTTTTTATGGTTGTCAATAACTGAAATTTTACCAGACCTCTGGAAATTGGGTAAGTTCTCAGAAATCTTTTACTCACTTTAGAATCCATGCTAACCTTAAAAGTTTGCAATAAAACAAAAAAGAAAGCACATCATATTATATGTATAGTATAATATCAACTATATAAAATGCATAAAAAACACTAGAAAAAATGTGCCAAAAATTAATAATCCAGAAGTTAACAGTGATTACTTCTGTCTTGTAGGAATGAGGGGATTATTATTTTTTATCCATATTTTCCAATTTGTATATAATAAAACAAGTAAAGGACAATGCAAGAAGAAAAAAAAAGACCTTTACCAAATTTCTGTGACCTTTAAAAGTTAAATGGTCTGAGACATGTTCCTCATCTCACTATAACTTCTATGGAAAGCCAGATTGTAGGGAATGGTTGCTACAGCCTTGGAAGAACACCTTTGAAATATCTTGTGATTACACAGACTACAGGTCATGAGGTACATCTGGTCCAGACATTCTTGGGCTCTACTTCCCCTAGAGAGCAAAAACAACCTCTGGGCCAATGTCATCTCTCCCATAACCAAACCTCAGCTGTGGTCATCAAACCCAGGAAATAAAGGGGTTCACTATAAATGCTTGAACTCAGGACACTGGGGAGTGAAATGTGACGACATCATTTCCCAAACTGGGAATTACCTGCTTGGACAATGAAAGTCCTGACTTTGTTTTGTTTTGGGTTTTGTTTGTGTGCCACCTTTTCTCATGACTAGAATGTTTAGGACAAAAGTGATCTGTGGAATTAAGTTTTGAGGTTTATAGACTGTATCTATAGCTAGAATATTTGAATTCATTTAAATAACAGCAGGTCATTTAAAAATGATTTATTTGTAGTAGCCTTGTAGCTCCCATTCATTATATAGCATTTGGTTAAAAGATCATATATATAAATATACATATATATATAATTTGTATATATAAATAAATGTAACAGATTAGAAGCAGTGGGCCTGAATTATGAAGCTCTTTCTGACCTGGTCCTGAGACGAACCAGCTATATGATCTCATCGAACAAGCTGCTTACTTCTCTGGGTCATAGTTTGTACCTCTGAAAGGGAACATGGACTTACCTGCTGCCTGAGGTTACTCTGGCTCTAAGACTCTCTGACTTTGGACAGGAATGATGTGATGGGCTATCTAATTGACTTTTGAAGAATCAGCTATTCCTTTTGCTAAGAACTTTCCATCCCAGTTTCAGCTGATCATTTCATCAGGAGGAAGGTCTAGGACTATCTAGACCAGGCTAGAATTGAAGGGTCCTCAGTTCACATGAATGTGAGCTTGAATTGATAGGCTCTCTTTCCTCCCTGAACATAGCTGAAGGTAGATGCTAATCCTCAGGGCTACCCTACGGAGAAGGTACTGTAGTACACCAATTCTACTTTGCATTACCTAACTCTGCGGGGACCTATGGGCTGTGAAAACTCACAGTATCATCTCCAAACCTCCAAAACTCTAACCAGTGATTGTTTCCTTCCCAAGGAACTTGGAGATCATCATCGCCTTTCCTGGGGGAGACAGCCTGCGTGGTTTTATACTGGTGACCGCTTTGGTGGAGAAAGCGGCAGTGCCTGGAATTAAGGTATCGTCTCAACTCGCATCACTTCCTTCTTTTGAATGAGAAACAAGTCTGAATTTTACTTCCCACTTGGTGCCTTTCTCTGAAGTAGATCCCTCAACACAGAGGAACACCAACCTTGTCCTACTAGTTCAAGTGTTATCCTTAATAATAGCAAGCAGCTCACACCCATTGTGCTTGCCTGATTGATCCCGCCTCTTATCTCTCAGGTGAACACATGAGGGACAGGAATGAATGGAGCTATTCCAAACATTTTTTTATATCAGTACTCCTCATTTTAAAAAGTAGTGTGTCTGAACGGGCGCAGTGTTTCACACCTTTAATCCTTGCACTTTGGGAGGTCAAGGTTAGAGGACTGCCTGAGCCCATGGGTTCCAGACCAGCAATTTGGCAAGATCTCATCTCTACAATAAATAAACAACAACAACAAAATAACCAGGCATGGTGGTGTGTGCCTGTAGTTCTGGCTACTTGGAAGGCTGAGGTGGAAGGATTGCCCAGCAGGTTGAGGCTGCAGTGGCTGTGAGCATGCCACTGCGCTCCAGCTTAAGTGACAGAGTGAGACTCCAACAACAACAACAAAAAAGTAGTGTGTCTGACACTGGAAGCTGGAAATCTAGACACATCCCAATGGCTCCCTATATGTCATCCGTCACCCCAAAGCATTATCTTAAACTGGGAAAAGAGGAGGGAAGGGTAGTGTGGGAGGATATCCCCAGCTCCCAGCTATGTCCTGTAGTTCTGGGGGCTCCCTCCCCCCTTCTTTTAACTCAAAGGGGAAGCAATCTAAGTTCTAGCCCACAATATTAGCTTCCTCGTTTCAATTCTTATATAATTGGAATTGACCATTTGTCCGTTCCATAAACAGGTATTGTTTTAGGCAACAGAAAATCAGGGTAAATGGAGCAACCTGTGATCAACTGAGCACTTATGCTTTGTCTAAAGACGTTTGATTTACGCCATCTCTTACCACTTTCTCTGGAAAGCATATGTTGAGTGCCTACTGTGTCCTTAGTAGGGTGACTAGCCCTGGCATAACTGTTATAACATCTTTTTTTCTCAAACGTGAAACCCTATGGTTGCTTTAATTCCCATCCCTGTGTTTGGTCTACTGGAAGTGCAAAATCAAATATTAGCCTTCCGAGTGCAGTTCAGATAAGGAAGTCTTTGTGGCAGAGGGGATGCTGGAGCCAGTGATCTGCAGAATCTGACAGACTTCTGCAGAATAAGACAGAGCTTCGCAATGAAGATGCCCTTGTTGGAGATGCAGACGCAGAAATGATCATGAGATGTGATCAACCCAGAAGAAGAGAAGAGAAAAAAATAGAGCTCAGGCCCTTGAGAGCTATGAGAAGCTAGTGGAGAGATTCAGAAAAACTTACCCAGGGTTTTGTCTGGGAGATACCCAGAGACTCTGGCCCTCAGATAGACCCCACAGCAGACCTAATTTAGGATGCTGCCAGGGACCTCTGACAAAACGTCCTATAGTCAGAGGGCCCCCTCCCCAGGTTCCCACAGAAGTCAGGAAACTTACAGCTCAAAGACTTTAGGGAATGCTGCTGAGTTGGATGTGTGAATCTCATCCCCAGGCACTCGTCCAGGGAGTGAATGCCATTTCACAGCCCAGCCAGGACACCCTGCTCCAAGCCCTGCAGCAACTGAGGCTCTCTATTCAGGACATCACCAGAACTTTGGGACACATGCACGGTATGATGCTCCAGAAGCTGCTGAAGGATCTCCAGAGGTTGAGGGCTCGGCTGGGGCGAGGAGGGCCTGAAGGATGGGCACATCCTACATGGGTGATGCTATATTTGTTCACTAGATGGCGACAGAGGATTATCTTTGTTTTAAGGTAAACATTTGCTCTCCAATGGGAAAATGATCTCTCAGTTTTCAGAGCTATTGTTGTGAACTGTCCTTCTTTATTTTCTCCTGTGATTAGGATAGTATCCTCTCTTCAGTGACCAGATATTTCTTTGGCATGTTGAGGTCTTGCCTGAAGTTTGGGAGAAGGATATGGGGTTCGCAATATTGGTCACACGAGCTCCATCCAGCAGTGTTAGGCTGCTGCAGGACAAAATTGTGATGGTGGAGTTTGTCTCCACTCTCTGATGCTCCTCTTTTTATTCTCTCAGTTGGTTCCTGAGATAACTGACCCTGGCTTTATGCCTTATCTAATGGACATCTGTGCTGCTTTTCTGTGGCATGAGTTGTCATAGATGTGTAGTTGTCAGAATTAAAATAAAGTCAAGGCAAGGTGTGGTGGCTTACACCTGTAATCCCAGCACATGGGAGGCCAAGGTGAAAGGATAACTTGAGCCCAGGAGTTCAAGACCAGCCAGGCAATCTAGTAAGACCTCTCCTCTTCGAAAAATTTTTTAAAAATTAGCCAGGTGTGGTGTCACACTACTGTAGTCCCAGCTACTCAGGAGACTGAGTTGAAAGAATCACCTGAGCCCAGGAGATCAAGGCTGCAGTGAGCCGTGATTGTGCCACTACACTCCAGCCTGGGTAACAGAGCGAGACTCCAACTTAATAATTAATTAATTTATATATATAAATTAATAAATGGAGCTGGGGTTCTGCAGAATCTGACAAACTTCTGCAGAATAAGACAGAGCTTCGCAGTGAAGATGCCCTTGTTGGAGATGCAGAAGCAGAAATGATCATATGTGATAAATCCAGAAGAAGAGAAGAGAAAAATAGTATTATATATAACAAAATAATATGTATATATATTGGAGTCTCACTCCCTCTCCCAGGCTGCAGTGCAATGGCACACTCCTGGCCACCCCAGAGTTGACCTGCTGGGCTCCGGAGATCCTTTCACCTCAGCCTTCCAACTACCACAGCCAACTAACTTTTTTTTTTTTTTTTTTTTG